ATTTCGTTTTTCTTTTTTTCTATCTCCTTTTTTCTTTGTCTCTTCTTTTTCTTTCCTTTTTACTTTTTTACATTTAGTTTACTATATATATTTTTTCTTTGAATGTATTTCTTATTATGCATGTAAAATGTTTTAATAAAAACTATTTTTTAAAAAAAAGAACTCTGAAGACAACAGAGAGGAAGGGATGCAGATCAGGATAACGATGGGCCGAGGGAGGCAGCAGGTAGACTGCACTCAGGGAAGGGGGATCAAATATCTAAAGACAATCCCCACTGCCAGCCCTCTGGCCACATCTTGGGAGTCAGGTTATCAGATCCTTGGGAGTCCTGTCTCTGGATTTTGTCTGGGGAACTGTTGCCCTTTGAATTTATCTTGGATCTTATGACCTTTTTTTTTCTTCCTATGATCCATTTATCATTAAACAAATTATGGGTAACACAGTTCTATTGTATCGTTCTGGCCATAGTTTTTATCGTTATGGAGTGAGGACATGATAGAATGTTCATAGAATGAACATTACAGAATGAGAACATTGAAGCTTTGCTTCAATACTGTTTCTTCTTTGTTGTTGTTGTTTTTCTTTCCTTTTTTTAGGGAATATATCCAAATATTAATACATTCAAATATTCTCTTCCTATTGCAGTGCTTCAAAGAGGCTGATAAAGCATGCTTCCCACTTTTCCCCCCTTATTTTCCAGGCAGACCAATCCAGGAAAAGACCTATATCATTTAGAGCTGTAGGTGCCCAGAGCACCCAGGTAGATGCTGTCCCCATTTATGCAGGAGACAGTATTAGAGGATCCCTGCTCATACATGGATTGAAAGTTGTGTCTCATACAAGAATAGAGCTTCAATTAATGCTGTTCTGCCTTCCCTCTGACAGATACAGACAGATCTTCCCGCAAAAGATGGGTTATTTGTTTGGGAGGAGGGACATTGACCTTGTGTTTTTGTTCATTCAGTAGAGCATTGTTAACGGCACAGGAAAGTGTGCGTCTTTTCTAGGTAGTGTAATTTAAGATTCAACTCACACAATGCAGTCTTGGTGTTTTTTTTTTTGCTGCTGCTGCTCTCCTTCTCCTTCTCCTTCCCATTCCCCTTCCCCTTCTTCTTCTGGGGGGTATAATCATTTCTATATTGTAAGGAGAAATGAA